CCGAAACACTTGTTCTCACGTGTCCAGGTTGCCCAGGCAGATGTTTAGCATGAGGATATGTTGAGGATGTGTTGAGCGAAACGTGTGGTTTCACGTGCCTAGGTCGGCCATGCGGATGTCTAACATGAACATGTTCGGAGGATGTCTCGAGCGAACCGTTCGTTTTCGCGTGTCCATGTCGCCAAGGCGGATGTCTAGCATGAGGATGGGTTGAGGATGTGTTGAGCGAACCGTTTGGTTTCACGTGTCCAGGTCGTTCAGGCAGTTGTCTAGCGTGAGGAGGTGTTGATAACGTCTCGAGGGAGATGCTTCGTTTCTCGTGTCCAGATCAACCAAACAAATGTCTAACGTGAGGATTTGTTGAGACAGCACAACACAGCCCTGGGCACGGTACACCAAGATCGATACATTGGGCATCTTCGTCTGTCGCCGATGTATCGAGCGAAACGCTTGCTTTGCAGTGTGTATTGAGGATGTCTCGAGCGAATCGCTTGTTTTGTGTTATATGTTGTTCCTTTCCTGGGGACCAGAATTCAGAGGATGTCTCAGGTGAAATGTTTTTTTTCACGTGCCCAGGTCCTGAGGATGTCTTGGCCGAGACGCTTGGTTTCACGCGTCCAGGTTGCCCAGGCAGATTTCTAGCATGAGGATTCGTCGAGGACGTCTCTGGCGACAAGCTTGTTTTCTTGTTTTCACGCGTCCAGGTCGCACAGGCAGATGTCTAGCATGCGGATGCGTTGAGGATGTCTCGAGCGACACGCTTGATTTCACGTGTCCAGGTCGCCCAGACGGATGCCTAGCATGAAGATGTGTTGAGATGGTCTTAAGCGAAACGTTTGTTTTCACGTGTCCAGGTCGCCCAGGCGGAGGTCAAACATGAAGATGTGTTGAGGATGTTCCGAGCGAGACGCTTGCTTTCACGCGCCCAGGTCGCCCAGGCGGATGTTTAGCATGAGGAGGTGTCGAGACAGTCTCGAGCGAGACGCTTGTTTTCACGTGCCCAGGTCGCCCAAACCGATATCTAACATGAAGATGTGTTGAGGACGTATCGAGCGAACCGCTTTTTTCCAGGAAAGGACTTAGGCCCAGGGTTCTTTTAGTGGGTTTACCCCCGGGTTTGACTTGAGATGTGCCGGCGAACTTCTTTGGCGATAAATATCGAGGTCGAGGTGGGCCGACGAATTAAATTTTGAGGATTTCTCGAGCGAAACGCTTTTTGTTCCAGAATGTGTTGAGGATGTCTCGAGCGAAACGCTTGTTTTGTCTTATATATTGTCCTCTCCTGGGGGCCTGATTCAGGGGTCCTCTCCTTTTGCCCTCCCCCGAATCTAGGTACCGATCGATCTGTACATCTCCATAGTCGCACTGGTTGTCGCGCGTGGTACGTTTCACGTCGTCCACATAGGAATGGCGTGTGTATGGCAGAGATGGAGGGGGGAAAACGAAACGAGGTGGAGGCATGAGGATTCGACGCAAGAGGTGGTCGAGCACAGAAGGAGCGTGGAAGGGAGAGAGCGGGAGCTACCTTTCCCATCATCACCCCCTCCTCTTTTCATGATCAGCACCCACATCGTCCTCATCGCTCGGATTGCCCAAGCGCTGCCTGAGCGTTGTCCACTGGTCATTGAGGTCAGTCGGTTGAGCGCAAGTTCAGGCTGGTCATCCGTTCTGTTGCGGGCCACCGGCTTACATATCAGGCAGCCGGAAGGCGCGTTATCGCTTCATTTTTTATGGTTGCGGGCTTCCGGATGACATACCAGGCTGCTGGAAGGCGCTATTGCACTCTCGTCAAAAGCATGTCTCCCCCCTTTGATGTTTCTCAACTGCCCCTGCATCCTCGTATTCGTCATCTTCCACCGCAAAGAACAACAGGGAGCATAAACACAAACCTCCCAAGGTGTTTTCTCACGTTATTTTCTGGGTCAACCCGACCTCGCGCGCCTCGGCCTGGGCCAGAGCAGCTTCCCTTCCCCAGGGGGCGCGACGCGAGGGCGCGAGGGCGCGACGATCACCGCGCGTCGCGGGGCGCGATGCGCGAAAGTAGGTGATGCAGAGTGTTCTGTTCTTCCGTGACCCCGTCTCCTTTACCTCGGCATGGGTCGAGCATGACGGGCACCGCGCTCCTCCCTCCTGCTCTGCCGTCTCTGCTCCACCCTCTCCGTCCTCCTCCCGCCCAACCTCCCCACGCCTCCCCCTGTCGTCTTCGCCGTCGTCGTCGTCGGTCTCCACCGCATCTTCATCCCTGAGCCTAACTTTTCCCTCGTCTTCCCCCCCTTCCCTCTCCCTCCTTCCTCTGCCTCCTCCATATGGTCCATGCGCCCGTCGCCATCATCCTCCCTCGCCGCTGCTCGCTAGAGTTCGCAACGCACCCGGCGAACGCCAGGCGCGAGCGAACGTTGGTATAGGTGGGGACGTCGGAGCACCAGAAAAACGACGGGGCGGGCGAGGCTGAACGCGCACGCTCCAAGCGGTGCAGAGAGGCGGGCTGAAACTCCGTCGTTTTGTGCGCGTATCGCAGGTGGGACTGCCTCCTCCCTGGCCTCCGAACGGACCGGGGTGGCTTTCGAGTGAGGGCCACGCGCAACGACATGGCTGAAGGCTCCGCCCGCATTTCCGCCACCATCAGCCCGCCCGTCTCACGCTGTTTCTGGTGCTCTCGCCCGCCGAGGCTGTTCCTGCAGCGGTGTCCGACGTCTTCTCCTCCAGGGCAAGCTTGGCAGAAGGCTCTGGCGCATCCCTGGCTCAACTGCATGGCGCCCCCCCCCCCTGCCAAGCGGGCGGGCCCCCGAATTCGGAGCTCTGCTCCTGGGCCTTCTGGGCACCCTCTCAGGCCGTTTTGGGGCACACCTGGGGGCTCCATTGGCTTTTTTGAAGCACTTAGGGGGCCTCTTCTGCGGTCTTGGGTCGTTGGAAGCCAGAAGAGCTGAGAATGTTGCAAACACCCCGAAACTTCATCTACCTCAGTGATGGTTGCTTCTTAGGGCCCTCTTGGGAGTCCTCTGGTGGCCCTCTCGCGGTGTCTTGGGAGTCCCTGAGGCAGTTTTCAGTCCATATTTAGCGTTTTGGTACGCTTTTGGGCCAGCTCGGAACCCTCTCGGAACGCCTGCCTTCTTTTGCGGCCTTCCTGCCTCTGGGAAGGTCACGCGACCGGCCCCTGGAAGCATGCGGGGCGCCCAAGGAGGCACACGTCAAGCCCCGGGGTTTGGACGTCCGGCCCCCCTCACGGAGTGTTGACAATACGCCGTGATATTGAGGATCGACGGCTCCTGAGGACCTAGGGGCATTGCAGTTCGTGCCTCCAGACAAGGTGGCGTGTGTGTGTGTGTTTACAGTTTAGCATACATATATATATATAAATATATGTATACATGTATATACACACATATATATATATATATATATATATGTACACACATACGTACATACATACATACATGCATGCATGCATGCATACATACATTCATACATACATATCTACATGCATGCATGCATCCATGCATACATACACACATGCATACATACATGCACATTTACATACATGTATGCATGCATACATGCATGCATGCATGTATACATACATACATGCATACATACATACGCACATATATGAGTATATGTATACTCATGGGGTGTTGCAGAAAGGACCTGCGATTGGTCGAGAGTTTGACATATCTTCCGCGGCGGAAGCCAGCAGACGGCGGGTGGAAGTTGGCAGTCTGGGGGCCATCTTGAGCATCTTGGAACGATCGTTCGACGGTTCGTTGCCCTCTTGGACCGTCTTCGGGGCCTCTTGGGGCCCTCTTGGTCTATCTTGGGGCCCTCTTGGGCCCAAACAGGTCGCGCGACAAGATGCGGGGCAGCCCAGGGGGCACGCGAGAAGCCCCGCCAAATTTCTGATTTGGGGTCCGGGCCCTTAGACAATTTTTCAGGAGTGAGGATTGAGGCTCAGAGGATTGGGCAAAGGACTTGAGGACAGGCCCACTCCGTGCCCAGAGGCACAGTGGCAGACTTTTCATGTCAGCACAAGAAGCACTCATGCGAATGAGACACGCAACGAAATACGCGCCGCCCATCCCACACACACACAAGTCATAAAACACTCGCATCATGTCCGTCTACGCTTTGGCTCAAGCTACCTGTCTGGCCGCGCGCAGTCGCGGGACCAGGTGACCGAATCTCGTTGCCCTTACCTCCGTCAATCAAGGCATTTCCAACGCTCATGGCGGGTTCTTGGTTGTGCGCAATCTTGCTGGCCGCCACAGTGTGCCCCCAGGCAGTCGCAGGGGGAGGATCGAAGATAAACGGAAGTTGCATAAGCCCAAACTTCAGGAGTCCGCGCGGATTTCTTGGATCGGCGCGGGACCCCCTCCCTGGCGCGCGGAGAGCGCGAGGGGCGGCGCCGGAGGCGCCGCTAGGGAGGCCGCCGCGCCGATCCAAGAAATCCGCGAGGAGCTCCGATCAGTTGTTTCTACTCGAGAGGATAAGGAAGAGGAGAAGGAAGAGCAGGAGGAGAAGGAAGAGCAGGAAGAGCAGGGGCAGGCAGTCGCCCTGTCGCACCAGAAGGCGAAGCTCAACAAGTCTTTCCACCCCTCTTTCGCCGCGGCATGCCTCGAGTGCAGGGCGTTTGCAGGTGACGGAGGTGGGTGCAGCGCCGGGAGTTGCTCGAGCGGGTATTGCTGGTGCCCGAAGATGCTGATGCCGCTGGGCACCGGGGGTGGAGCAGGGAGACCAGAGGGCACCAACCATTGTAGTTGAAGGTCTAGGATAAGGCCCACCTTGGCCGCGGATGTCCCTTGGGTCCGTCCTTTCCGTGTTTTTCCGTAACGCTCCGTGTGCACTGGGGCGCCACGAAGGCCGAAGGACACCCAAACAGTTCCGGTCCGTTCCCAACCCGAAGTTTTCTTGTTGCAGTCGCCGATTTGGGCAAGGCCAATCCTTGGCAAAACCAAGATTGGCCTGGCCGCAGCATCAGCGTCGTCTCAGAGTTGGCGCCCTCCCAGGAGAAACCCGCCGCAGCCGCGCGAGACAGCCGACCTCCCGTCTGCGATCGCCGCGTCGACCAGCGCGCAGAGCGGAGTGAACTGCGCCGGCTATGCGAAGTGTCCGAAGGAGGTGGTCGTGGGCCCCTCCTAATTCGCCAGAGCCTGAGCAGGGCCAGCTGAGACATCGGCGGCCGTCTTCAGTTTTTCAGTGGTGAACAGCTCGTACCCGTCCCATATACGATTTGGTTTAATCGCCCTTATAGTACATAGCAATACTCGCGACAGGGAGTTGTGGGTCATTGTAGGGCATGGGCCATGTCGCACACGATGCACACTGCAGATGGATATTGTATCTATACATATAAATCTATAGAAAGAGAGATAGAGAGAGAGAGAGAGAGAGACAGGGAGAGAGAGAGTGGCCTTCGGCCCATCCCGCCACCGTGCATGGGTTCTGGGTCAGAGTTCTCAGGGAAGCTTCTTCGGGTTTCTTTGGAGCTCTCTCGGGGGCTCTTGGGAGCAGCTTGGGGCCTCTTGGCAGCCTCTTGGCGGCCTCTTGTTGGGCCTCTTGGGGGCCTCGTGGGGCGTCTAGGGGTCCTCGTGGGGAGCCTCTTGGGGCCTCCTGGGGGCCTCGTGGGGCGGAAGGCTCGAACTGTCGGTTCGGGTTCCCCATTTGGGCCCCCTCATGGGGTCGTCTTTGGGTCCTTTTGATTCGTCCTGGGCGCCTTTTGGGCCGTCTTGCTGCCCTCTTGACCATTCTTGGGGACCTCTGGTGCCGCCTTGGGGCCACCTTCGTGGCCTCGTGGGCCGTCTTGGTGCGTCGCAGAGCCGAAAAGGCGAGAAGGCCAAACAACTTCAAAACCGACGGAACATCAATGATTGTTGCCTCTTGGGGCCCGTTTGGGACGCTTCTTGAAACACTCTTGGGACGTCTTCGGGACTTCTTGGGCCGTGTTGAGGCCATCTTGGGCGTATTCTTGGGAATCCCCCGAAATCCATGAAAGTCGTTGTGAAACCGGAGACTGGGGTCCCTCATTCTGGCTTCTCTGCATGAACCTTGGGGCACTTCTCTACGTGCAGCAGGGACGGTGGCGGATTTACGTACGTGTATATAACTGTGCACATTTTTTGCCGCGCTCGGTACAGTTTACGTCGTCCGCGCAGGAGGGGGAAGAGAGGATGGTCGAAGGAAGGGTGTGTGTATGTGTGTCAGGCAGAGATGAGGGGTGAGAGCGCGGCGAGGTGGAGCACGAGGATCAGAAGTAATAGGAGGATGTCGAGCACGGAGGACGGGAGGAAGGGAGGGAGGGAGAGAGGGAGAGAGAGAGAGCGGGGCATCATCGTCCCCCTCCCCTCCTCACTATCATCACCCACCTCGTCCTCATCGCTCCGATTGGCAATGCGTCGCTTAAGTTTGGTCTACCGGTCATTGAGATCAGTCGGTTGAGCACAAGACCAGGCTGGTCATCTGTTCGGCTGCGGGCCTCCGGCTTGCATATCTGGCAGCCGGAAGCCGCGTTATCGATTTTTTTAGTGGTGGCGGGCTTCCGGATTACATACCAGGCTGCTGGAAGGCGTTACTATCCGTAAGCGCTTCGCCCCATGCCGCCGGCCCCCTCTTTCGAAGAAGGGGGCATGCAAGAGCTATGTTGTGAGGCCTGAGCGCCGTCGTGAAGCAGCGTAGGAACTCCGAACGGGGGCCACTTAGGTTCGGGTCCCCCGTCTCGAATCACTCTTGGGCCGTCTTGGGGCCCTCTTGGGCCGTCTTTGGGGGTCTCTTGAGCCGTCTTGGGGCCCTCTTGGACCCTCTTGGGCCGCTCTTGAGAGCCTCTTGGGGGCCGTCTTGGGGGGTGCTCTTGGAGCGCTCTTTGGGGGCCGCTTGGGATCATCTTGGGCCGTCTTGGGGTCATCTTGGGCGCCTTGGAGAACTCTTAGGCCGTCACGGAGGCCTCTTGTACCGTCGGGGGGGCCTTTTATGAAGAATTGTGGCCTCGAAAGCGGGGGTTCATGAGTTCGGGGGTGAGGGCTCATGAGTTCGGGGACTCAGAGAAACGATAGTTTACGAGCGATCGTGGCTTCGGGGACGCAGATATTGAGCGATTTGCGCGAGAGTAGCGCCTTGGAGATGAGAGCATCGCATAATCAGCGAGGAATTATGGTCTCGGGAGCGCGATCACAGCGTAATGGTCCAGGGCTTGTGGCCTCGCGGACGCGAATATTGAGTGATTGAGGAGGGCCTGTGGTCTCGGGGGCGCGAATACGGCGTAACGTACGAGGGATCGTGGCCTGTGGGGCGCGAACCCCCCAGAAATTCTGAGAACCCCCCCAGGTGAAGGTGACCAGGGCCCTATCCGGGCCCCCCCCGTCGCGCGGACTCCAACAATTCACAGTAGGAAGCAGAAAGCAGGAGTATAACACTGGAGACTGGAAACTGGAACTGGCGCAGGGAGCAGCAAGCCTGATCCCAGGAGCCTGGTGGCCCCACAAAGGGGGCCGGTATTATTTTCTCGTCAAGGGCATGTCTCTTCCCTTTGACCTTTCTCAGCCACCACTGCATCCTCATATTCGTTCATCTATGTCGCGAGGGACAGAAGGCAGCATCAACACTCACCTCCGAAGGTTTATGTTCACGCAGTTTTCTGGGTCGACCCGAGGGGCGCGGAGGAAGCTGCTTCTCGCTCATTTCGGTCTGCGCGAGAGCAGCTTCCCTTCCCCATGGGGCGCGGCGCGAGGGCACGACGGCGCGAAGATAATCCCGCGTCGCGGGGCGCAATCCCGTCTCCTTTTCCTCGACATCCTTGTCCGCCTTGAGCTGCGAAGGCCAGGATGCACGCCGGCAGTCCCAGCCTTCAAGGGTCGAGCATGACCTGCCGCAGTCGTTGTGGGCCCCGCGCTCCGCCATGCCTGGTGATCGTTCATAAAAGAATGTTTCCTCCCCCCTACTCTGCCCTCCCGGCTCCACCCTCTCTCCTTCCTCCACCTCCCGCCTTACCCCTCCTCCCGCCCAACTTCCCACGCCCCAACCCGTCGTCTTCGACGTCGTCGTCGACGTCATCGTCACCGTCGTCGTCGTCGACGTCGTCGTCATCTGTCTCCTCGGCCTCTTTCTCCCGCATCCTCTCTTCTCTCTCGTCCCCCCCTTCCTTCTCGTTCCTTCCTACTCCTCCTCCGTTCGCCCTTCTCCCTCCTCCTCACTCGTCGTTATTCGCTCGAGTTTGCAACGCACCCGACGAACGTCAAGCGCGAGCGAACGCTGGTACGGGGCGGACATCGGTGCGGCGGGCGAGGTTAAGTTCGTACGCCCCCAAAGGACGCAAAGGGCGGGCTGAGTCTCCTTCGTATGCGCGTACTACTGATAAGACTGCCTCCTGTTCGGCGTCCGAACGGGCGGGGTTGGTGTTTGGGTGAGAGCCCAGGGCTGGACCTAGACGCTGTTTTTGCTGCACGTCGGCTGTGCTTTGTGTTTCGTTTTGGCAGGGAGGTACAGGAGAGCAGGTAGAGCAGCATTGAAAAACAAGGCGGCACAAAACGAAAAACAACGCTCAGGTCCAGCCCTGACACGAACACAGCGCTCTGGCGCCTCCCCGGCGGCACTGCCTGGCGCCCTCCTCCTCCCCCCCCACGGCAGGCGAGCGGGGTCCCCGATCTGGAGCTCCGCTCCCGTGGCCTTCCTGCGGAGTCCTCGCGAGCCCCAGGGGCCGCCGGACGGTTTCCTCGGCGGCCCGGCGGATGTCGTCACTCGGCCAGCTCGGGTGCCTGAGCAATCCCACAGATCCCCCCCCCCCAGGAGTCCCACGGCTCTCTCTGCGATGTCCGCATGGTGTTGCAGGATCTCTTCCGGAATCTCGGGGGAGGACTTCCTAAGCAAACCAATGAATTCCCCAAGGGATCGCGTGGAGATGTTCAGGAATCCGAGCGGTGTTTGTGCCGAGGTGGATGGTTTCTTCCAGAAGTAGCAAGAATGTTCACAGAACAGTCAGCATTAACCCCACCCAGTCTTTACGGATTTCCCAAGCATCCCTTACGGAGTCCAGAAGAATTCTCCCATAACCCTAATTGCTCCAAGTAGATGAGTTGGGCAGACTCGTCTGCCCCTTCCTGGCAATTTGTCTGCCGTCGCCATCGCCGTCGCCGTCGTCGTCGTCGTCGTCGTCGTCGTCGCCGCCGTCGTCGTCGTCGTTGTCGTTGTCGTCGTGGTCGTGGTCGTCGTCGTCGTCGTGGTCGTGATCGTCGTCGTCGTCTTCGCACCCACGCTGGGGTTCACTTGGCCGCAGACAAACTCAACTCTCTGAGCCCCGTCCTGTCCTGCAGGAACCTGACCTGCAGGGGCAGGGCTCGCAGGTGATAGCCCACGGTGCCCGCACCCTCCCACCCTAGCCAGCGGGGCCGAACGATCGCCGCCCTCTCCATCATTTGGGAAGCTGGGCATGTTTTACCCGAGAGAGAGAGAGAGAGAGAGAGAGACACACAGGCAGACAGACGGACAGACAGAAAGAAAAACATACATATATATATAGTAACCTTCCAAGGAAGCCTATGCGGAGTCCACCTGAGCGTGCGCGACGCCGTTGATGGGGAACGGTTGAGTTTCATCCATCTTCCGTAGCTGTGTTGGCTGGAGACAGGCAGCGGAGTCACCGGGCGGTCCCGCCCGTCTGTGGCCGCTGCCGAGCCACTCTGTCTACTGAAGGTTGCCGCGCCGAGCGCGGCCGCTTGGAGGGCCACGCTCGGCCGACTGATTCTGATCAGCCTCGCTGGCAGCCTTACTGGGTTGAGGGGAGCGAAGACCTGGCTGGGAGACGAGGGTCCCGGGCGCGGGTCGCCCCTCTCCCGCGGAGCTGCTGGCGAGGAGCCCGATGGAGCGGGCAGCCCCGGCAGCGGTCGGGTGGCCCTTCCCGCGGGGGGCCTGGCTCGACGCAGCGCTGAACGGCGAGCTGGTGCCGGGGCTGCCGCTGGCGGCTGGAGCTCGGGTCCTGGCGCGGGTCAAGGACGACTACGGGGCGCCACAGGGCGTCGAGATGCTCGAGGTGGAGGTCGCCTACCAGGCAGACGCATTCGGCCGGTACTTCAAGGGCCGGCATGTGGGCGCCAGCGACCCGTACTACTCGTGGTATGCAGCCTCCTGCGGGCAGCGGGGCGCGCGGTCCCTGG